TTCTTATTTTATTACTGACTGCTTACTTGTCATTTTTTATTCAATTCAAAGTTTGAAATCAAGCTATCTCGTGCTACTGCACCAAAATTACCCCACTGTAAAATAAAAAAAAACACTGAGTGAGCAAAAATTTGTGAGATAGTTTAAGTTATAATGGTAATTAAACAATGTTTACATATGAATAAAAGCCTACATTAAAATCTGTCATATAAATTGGTCTCTTCATTAGAAATTAGCCTACTGATTGCCTCCATGGACAAAAAAATTAATAATATTAAAAATATCTGACACACACACACATACATATATATATATATATATATGACACATTCTGCAGTTCTTCCCTGCTGTACCGAATTTCGATACTTTTCAAAGTATCATATCGAAGTTAGAAATTCAAATATTGTGACAAAATTAATTTTGTAGGGTGCCACAAGTTTGTTAAAATTTCGAAAGGGTGCCGCGACTAAAAAAAGGTTGGGAAACACTGATCTATACCATGACCTTATAAAATTAAAAAAATATATTAATTTACAGTGAAATTATTGATAACTAAAATGAGAGTTGTTATAGTTGGAGTATTTTATACATTAGTGTGGTGTATATTAGGCTGCTATTAGATCTTATTTATCTAATAACTACATTGCAGCTGATTATATCATTAATTTAGCAATGGCAGTAGTACCAAATTAGTAGTTTGACCTCACAGAATCAGTATATATTTTGGCTCTTATGTGATTATGTAATCCATTTAGTGTGTAACCAGAATGACATTCAGACACATTGCCAGAATCCCTCCGTCGTGTGTGTGTGTGTGTGTGTGTGTGTGTCCTCAGAGCCCTTGGCAGCTCTGCCCGTACCCGTAATCCAATCAATGAGGGCCACGGCGGTGCCATGGCAACCACCCAGCTTCCGTGACGACCGTATCACTTTCACATCCTGTTTGTTAGATTATGAGAGCATCCCCTCAGCAGCAGTGATGTCATCTGGGCCTGTGTCATGTCTGGGACAGTGACATGGTGCAATTTTTGTTCTAAAATATGTTAAATATGCAATTCCTCTGTGATGAAAACTGAGCATGTCTTTGGTTTTCTTTTGATGCATTTGTGGGATATAAAGTAAAAAATACAGGTTAGTTTTTAAATATTATAAATATGTGTAATAATTTTTGTCAGTCAAGTCATGTGACAGGAATAAAACAGGAAATTACATCAGAGAGAACTCTTAAAATATCATTTATTTTACTTATTTTATGAAAACTTATTAAAAAGTTATTCATTATTCAGTAACACACTCCTGTTCAAAAGTTTGGGGTTTGTAAGATTCATTCATTCATTTTTAATGTATCTTCTGCTCTCCAAGGCTGCATTTATTTGATCAGAAATACAGTAAAATTGTAAAATATTATTACAATTAAAATATCTGTTTTTAATGTAAATGTATGTTAAAATATAATTTATTTCTGTGATCAAAGCTGAATTTTCAGCATCATTACTCCAGTATTCAGTGTCACATGATCTTCAGAAATCATTCTAATATGCTGATTTGCTGCTCAAGAAACATTTCTGATTATTATCAATGTTGAAAACAGTTGTGCTGCTTCATATTTTTGTTATAAATTTTATTTTTCAGCATTCTTTGATGAATAGATGGTTCAAAAGAACAGCATTTATTTGAAATAGAAATCTTTTGTAACTTTAAAACCTTTTAAAGTTTTATAACCTTTACTGTCACTTTTGATCAATTCCATGCATACTTGTTGAATAAAAGTAATAATTTCTTCAAAGAGAAATCTTACTGGCCCCAATCTCTTGAGCAGTAGTGTGTGTGTGAATGGTGTGAGTGTGTAGCACAGTATATGCAGTAAATGCAGCACTGCACTGCAGCTCTAGTGTGTGACGGGAATATTTAGTCTCGTGAAGGTTGAGCTGGATTTATACAGCAGGATCCAGGTCGGCTCCATTACACCATCTAATCATCGAATAACAGCCGCAGGATTTTTATGCGTCTATAAATCAGTTTATATATCGCAGTATGCCGTGCATTGTGGGAGTTTTATGAGTGTGAACTGTGTGTTTTGTGTCTGCAGGGAATCATTCAGAAGATCGTGGACATTCATAAGGTCAAACACGTGACTTGTTTCGGGCTGCGTCTCACTCACGTTCCGTCGGGCGACATCCACTGGCTCCACCCGGATATGGGCGTGTCCCACGTGAGGGAGAGATACGAGCAGAACCGCCCACAGGACGAATGGAGGTAAATCATTCACACACGTTTCACACGCAATCAACATTCACACACACAAGAGGAGATCAAATACAGCGTCTAATAAACCCAACTTTGACGGCAAATGGGCTCTGGTCCATCCTGGTCTAAAATATTACTTAACCGTGAATTTAAAAATTGTTTTATTTAAGTATTTTATATTTTTTGTGCAATTATAATATTTTGAATGATATTTAATTTTTTAATATTTTCAGTATATTTATATTTTAGTTTAAATCTTAGTAATTTTGTTATGTGCTGTTGTAATTTTTATTACTTTTTGTTGTGTTTTTATCTTTTAATAATTTATTTCACTTTCACTTATTTCAGTTAGTTGCCAAGGCATTATCATTTTCATTTAGTTTTTTTATGTTTAGTAAAAGTTTACTGTAAGGTATCATTAGTTATTATTTAATTCATTAAATGACTAATTAACACTGAGCAATACATTTGTTACAGTATTTATTAATCTTTGTTAATCTAACTTAATAAAAATATAACTGTTTACTGTTAGTTCATGTTAGCTCAGGTCCATTAAATAATATTAACAAAAAAATTGTATTTTAATATTGTATTATTAAATGTTGAAGTTAATATTTTTAAGAGTAATAAATACTTTTTTGTTTTAGTTTAAGTTTGAGTAATTTAATCATGTGCTTTTGTCTTATTTGTTTTATTTTATTTTTAAAATATGTTAAAATATAATGTATATTTAAAAAATCTTTGTATTAAAATACAATATTTCGGTTTAGCTTTATATTTTTATTTCAGTTTTAGTTAATTATTTTAATGTAAACTTATTTAACTTATTTATTGATTAGTAGTTATTTATTATTTGTATCTAATATTTATATTTTATTTTATTTCAACTTAATATGCTGAAAAATATGCTTAATCAGCTTATTTGAGCTTGATCATTTTAATATGATTTTTAAAACTATTTTCAACAACAACAACACTGTGACAAAGATGACAGAATTTCCTCTTAATTGAAGTTCTAGCAGCAAAATTCGACCCTGTATTATTATGATTGTCAGTTTATAAATAATTTTTTTACATCCCAATTTTCTATACATGCAGTAAAACGTAATTCTTTGAAAAAAGAAATTAACTCAGGTTTGTGAATTTTCTTTGCATCACAAAGATTTAGATTTTAGATTTTAAAATAAACAAAAAACACATAGACCAGCCTAAGCTGGTTTCCTGGTCTTAGCTAGACCAGCCTAGTCAGGTTGTTCTGTTGGCTGGTTTGGACACTGGTTCAAACCAGTATGTGATCATTTAATTGTGTCTTGTTATTTAAGGTTGTTTTTATGAATGAAAGGGCATCGTCTGAATGACAAAAACATCACATGATTTTGTATGGAACAGGAGGGCTGGTGGTTGCCATGGCGATGCTCTTGTGATTGCATGATTGCAGCAGGAGGAGTATTTGAATTCATCGACCTCTAAATTAGTGTTCCTGCTGCTGGTCTTGTCTTTGTCCGTGTCCGTGTGTGTGTGTTTTATTTGATCTGAGTCTGCGAGTTATTCCCTCACAGATGGTATTTTTATGTCACTTCGTCTCTACCCACAATGCAGCAGGGGAGCCGTCAGGGCCATGTGCCGCGTGAAGCAGCTGCGCGTCCATTCACCGCCGCTAATTCACTCGCAGCAGCTTTTGTTCGGTCACTCACAGCGCAGAGACGCAGAGAAAAGAGCGGCAGTGATTTAAAATCCCGCCTTTTAACTGCCCCGTACACAAGCTGCTGTTTGAGGGAAACGCTTGATTATCTCAGACTCTTGTAGGTTTTGAGGGATCTGATCTGATTACTTTTCCTTACTTTTGGTGGTTTTCTGCGTCCTGAGGCCCAGACCAGCATAAAACCTTCAGTGCGGCTCTTGATACAGCCAGAATGGTTTGCTTTGCAGCTTGTTCTGGTCAAGAATGGCCCGTTTAGACAGGAAGAATCATCTGACAGATATGAAAAGTGACTTTTTTTTAGGGCTGGATTCATCTGAAACCCGTGATACATCATTGCACAGTAGTTTCTGCAAATGTTTGTACAATAACTGAGAAATTTGTGTGCAACGTGTGTGACTTTCTGAGCTTTCTGTTTATTCAAAAGTATTGCTTTTTTTATTGAACGTAACGCATTCATTTTCTACCAAGCAAGTGCCTCAGATAAAACCCTTTACCTCTTTCTAAGTTTTTATGTCATAAACGTCAAAAACCATGTCAGATCCAGTGATTTTAGCAGCATGGGAACGTGTAAACATGACTTTTCCCTGATAGTTTTACACTTTTAATGCACACTACCATTCAAAATTTTGTGTCAGTAAGATTTTTTCTCTTTTTTTAAAGAAATGAATACTTTTATTCAGCAAGGATGCATTAAAATGATCAAAAGTGACAGTAAAGACATTAATAATGTTACAAAATATTTCTGTTTTAAATAAATGCTGTTCTTTTGAACATTCTTTTCATCAAAGAATCCTGAAAAATAAAATGTATCACAGTTTCCACAAAAATATGAAGCAGCACAACTGTTTTCAACATTGATAATAATCAGAAATGTTTCTTGAGCAGTGCATCAGCATATTAGAATGATTTCTGAAGATCATGTGACACTGAAGACTGAGTAATGATGCTGAAAATTCAGCGCTGCATCACAGAAATAAATTACATTTTACTGTATATTCACATAGAAAACAGTGATTTGAAATTGTAATAATATTTCACTATTTTATTGTATTTTTGATCAAATAAATGCAGCCTTAGTGAGCAAAAGAGACTTCCTTCAAAAACATAAAAAATCCTCATTCCTGAATAATGAGATTTTCTCCTTACACTCATCTCTTCTCTCTCTTCAGAGCTCATGTGAATCGGTGGGAAACCCCAGCCAGATTCCTTCCCAGCAATCTAATTACTGACATTCTGACATTGTACAGAGCATGATGTGTGCTCTTGTGCTCCTCATATGGCACTGTTTTTGTGAATCTCAGAGGCTGTGATCAGATCAGGCCGTTTGTTTCGTTTGTCTGTGGGTGAAGCGTCCCGCTCTCAGCGCTGATGTCATTCTTTAGGAGCTCTAATAACGCCCCTGCACGGCTGTCGGTGTTGTTGTGGCTTTGCGGAGGCGTTGATGGATCTCTTGCTCAGCGTTTGTGCTGAAAGGCAGATGAGCTCATGTTCAGATGGAGCTGGAAGAGGATCTAGTTCTTTCGCTGTAGGCAGACGACTCTCGCTGCTTTGATTTCCTCTAGAGAGAAACACGAGTGATCACGTCCCAGCTACAACCAATCATCTGCTCACAAAATGACCTCATTATTAGGCCAGCAGAAAGCCTCACACGATTGGCATACCCGTCATTCCCAGTGCTGCACATGTCACATACAGTGTGTGTGTGTGTATATATATATATAGTTTTATTTTTTATTGTTCAAATGAAAAATTATTTGATAATTATAATTTAATTACAATTTATGATTAAAATATATTTATATTTATTATATAAATAGATTTTCAGTTAGTTTACTTGCTTATATTTCATCACATTTTTGGGACATTTTTCTAATTTATTTTCTTAAGTTAATTTTATATTTTATTTAATGATACTTTTGAAAATTGTTGCCATATTAAAAAAAAAAAAATGCACTATACAAATGCATTTGACTTAACTTGATTTAAATATGTTTATATTGTCCAAAATATCTTTTAAAAATGCATTTGACAATAACCCAAAATGTATTATAATATTGGAAATGTATTTTTTTTTAAATAAAATTTGGCATTTGAATGTTTCAACAAAATATATTTAGAATTTGAAAAATATTTCGGACTGTATATGTTGTACTGTTTACAACATGTATTTAGCATAGATTCGACATACAGTATATGTTGGCTAGAAAGCAATAGTTTTTTGCCGTGTAGAGTAGCTTCCCATCCTTAATGGTTTATTTGTTAGATATTTTGGCTAATTTGATTCTGCTTTCAGTCTACTTCTGTTTTTAGATCAGTTTGAATTTTATGAGCCTGAAAGTAAAGAACACTTTCACAGTTTAACAGCAGAGAACGCGCTTTTCCCAGCAGAGCTGCTTTCAGAAGTGTGTGAACTGCGTTTGAGCTCCTGCTTTCTTCACTGCTCAGGAACTGAGATTTGATCATTTCCTGAGCGAGGTCCAGGAAGTCAGGGAAAGCACTGAAGGATCATTTCCTCTGGAGTTTCAGCAGGAGACCCTTCAAGTGAAGAAGCTGTACTGTTACAGACTGTGAAAAAGATCAGAGCACACGCTGGAAAGAACAATCATACTGACCTGACAGTGATTTACGAGTGTCCTCATGATGGAGCAGTGATCAGCTGTGTGTTTGGAATCAGAATGACTCTAGTATTGATTTTTTGGAGTGTTTCGCTTATGTAGGGATCATGTGTGTGTGGCTTTGAGAGTGACACACACACAAACACACACACACACATACACACACACACACTCACACTAACACACACACACTCACACACTTACACACACACACCTCTCTCTTTTTTAATGTTATCTGGTCTTTCTGTACCTTCCAGATGATCATTGACCTGGCAGCTGAGGAGGGAGTGGCCGGGATTATCTGCCACCATCTCTACATTAACAAAAGTAGCCGGGAACAGACTGACGGTGTCAACATGGTGCCGTTTGTCTGTCAGGATCTGTCCATGGAAGAAGGCTGAGTGGAGGTCCACCTCGTTTGTGTGTGTGTGTGATGTTTAGGCACATGGTGATTTCCCCTGTCATGACTCTTTTATTTATCATGTTTTCTCTCTCCTCCTCAGGTATGAGCTGAGGATCCGTTACCTGCCCAAGGGCTTCCTCAATCAGTTCGCTGAAGACAAACCCACTCTCAACTATTTTTATCAGCAGGTGAGTGAAGGTGCCCTCATCAGCGTGTGTGTGTGTGCGTGTGTGTGCGTGTGTGTGTGAGTGTGTGTGTGTGTGTGTGTGTTAGTGTGAGTGTGTGTGAATGTGTGTGTGTGTGTGTGTGTGTTAGTG